CTGCTGTGTTCATCCAGCTTACACCTTGTTATCTCAGATTCTCCAGCATCAGCAGTTCCCACTATCTCTGAACCAAATAACCTTTCCATTTTATGTATTTCCTGGTCAGGGAAGTACAAGAGTCAATGACAAACATTCAGATTTTTTTGTCAATCACAATTTTGAAGCGTACTGATTTTGATGTTCAATATAGTTAATGGGCAGAAATTCTAGCTATCAACAGGCAATATTCTGGTTTTCATTCACAAGGCTTAGTAGCTTGTAGGAATTAATTTCAACTATGCTTTCTGCTGACCACCTCGATTCAGGAGTTTTCAGATTTTTCCATTTCTGAGGAAAGTCTCAACTTAAGTCTTCAGCCCTTGGCATCACATGTCTGGCATCATTTTGTGATGCCAAAGTTATGTATGGAAATAAATCAGCTGTGAGCTCATTGAGTGGCAGAGCAGAGTTGATGGGTTGAATGGTTTCCATCTGCTCTTATGTTTTATGCTCTTACCATATTTTGAATAGAAGTAGCACCGTGGCATCTTGGTCTCATCATACTGGTGCAAAAACTCGCACTGATCTCCTTTTTTACATAGGCCTCGGAGCCAGTGTTTGCATACAATATTCTTGTCACCACACAAGTGTCGAAATGGGCACATTTGTTCTGCAATAAATGCAAAGATAGTATTAGCTACAGCGGTAGCATCACTAGAATACAAAAAAGTGTAATAAAAATCTGATTCAGTTTGTTGAGGCCTATAAGGTGCTGTAGACAGGGTCTCTGATGATCCTGTAACGCTTGTAAGAAAACCACAAGTTGACTTTTGCCATTACAGCAACACAGCAAGTTTGAGCATAGATATTGTAATATGAAAACTAATTAGCAATTATCAGTTCAGTAAATCATATCAAATGTTTTCCTCAATATTTGTTATCGTAATGCACTGTCGTTTTGCATGATAAAAGCAATAATTTAAGGTTTATTTTGAACACTTCTACCATAATTTTCTGATATTCAATTTTATTTTAATTCTGAGGATATGTTTTATGAAATTAAGGTAACCTATTTTGTGACCACTGCCTGGGTATAATTGTATATGCAGATTCATTTCTATAGTATCTGCACTCAGTTCTAGCATTCAACTGGACAGTTATTGAATAACTAGCTTTTTTTTCAGTGACGAGAGTTGGGTAATGGGAGGATTTTAATTTGAAACACTCACTGCTGCCAGGATAACAGTTCGCACTCAGTCTGGTACTTACATCCAGTTCATTTGGGGAAGTGGGAAACTTTTAAAGGCCAAGATATTATTTAAAATGTGGAGTGTAATATCATATGAATAAATGAGGTAAAGATGGTTAAACGCTTGAACACACCTGGTGAAATATCTCCCAGGAGATAAATTAGGACAGAGTAAAAGTCTACAATTTGTGTGGATCAGACCAGACCCTCTAAGTATTTTAAGAAGATAGCCTAGACTAACTTTATCTTATTTTAAAATGTGAATTTTGTGTTCTAGATGTGATGTGACTAGTCAAACTACTTGACATTAAGCAAAACAATTTATTTAAACACTATAGATAAAATACAAAAAGAGAGAGAGGAATTTAGAACAACAACTATTAGAAAACACAACCAAAGAATAGATACAGTACCTATTACTAATTAACTGTTCTAACATAATAACATCCCATAAACACAATCCTTGGCAAAAAGGTAAATTCAGATAGATTCTGACATGCAGTTCTCCAATCCAAGAGGAAACAACATCAAGAGAAATTTCAGAAAAATTAGCAGCTAGGAATCATTTGCTGAAGCTTCCATCTGTGACCCCAAACAGCTTCTGACTGCTACAGCTGAAAAAACTGTAAAGTCTAGTCTGAGAGAACTGGCCACTCTCCTATAGTTACAACTATTTTTTAAAACCTAAAGGCCTCCTAATTTATTCACTGAAGCCATTTCAGTGGCCAGTTTGGTGCCTCTGCCTTTATAACTTCTCTTAAAAACAGCCTAGGACAAAAATAACCTAACATGACAGCATGGTCACAAATTCTGCAATTTTTTTTTCAATGAAACTTTTATTACAGCTCAACCTTTTACTTCAGAGCTTTATGAATCAATATCATTTCATTATGGTCAAATTATTACCTAGTTACTCCCTATATTCATGTTTTTCAACTCCATACAACAGAAATTCTACATAATAATCCTTGTGTCAATACTGTGGCTTTAAGAGGTGTTTTGTGCATTATTTTTTAAATGAAGAAAGATTGAGACAGAGGTGATGATCAATAAAGTCTGCTCAAAGCCAATAAAGTAAACAGCTTATGAGGCTGTCTTTTTCAAAAAGGTTGGAACAATAGAAGCAGCCTGAATGGGTGGGGTCAAGCTCCCACAGAACCAGGATTTTTAGTTTGAGCTTTCAGCAGTTGCTGGAGTCTTGAAGCTGGATGTGGAAGCTTTCATTCCTCTATTACAGCTCAAAGCTGGGGTTCTCTTCCAGCTGTTAGAATTGCATGTGAGAATCTATTTTACTGAATTTGCCTTCACCAAGAATGGGTTTATGGGATATTACTATATTGGAACAGTTAGCTAGTAGAGAATATATACAGTGACGCATTTTGTTTTACTGAATCAGAATCCCTACATTGTGGGAGCAGGCCATTCAGTCACCAATCCTCCAAACAGCATCCTACCCAGACCCAATGCCTTACTCTATCGCTATTATCCCACATTTCTCCTAGCTAATCCACCTAGCCTGCACATCTCAGACACTATGGGCAATTTAGCCTGGCCAATCCACCCAACTTGCACATCTTTGATCTGTGGGAGGAAACCTGAGCAGCTGGAGGAAAGCAATGCAGACATGGGGAGAAAAGGCAAACTCCACACAGACAGTCACCTGAAGGTGGGCTTGAACCTGGGTCCCTGGCGCTGAGAGGCAGCAGTGCTAACCACTGAGCCACCGTGCTCATCACCATTCAAAAAAGCAATTCTAAAAATACACAGTAATCAAAATGACTGGTGTTTAATGAGCTTGCTTTGAAAAACTATTCCACTTTGCATCAGTGACATTATAAAACAGACTTAGTATGCAAATCAACATTTCCCTTGCATTGCTCATGTCATGTGTTAATGACAGTCCAGTGTTCCAAGCTACATTTGTTTTTGTTTTCATTCAAGATTCAAAATTTATTCAGACCAATTCCATAACTGATGACAGTTCTACTTATCAACAAAAGAGATTACATCAATACTTGAATGATAATTTTTGTTTAATTAGTATCTTACCTTTTAAGCATTTGCCTTTAATGAAAAGCTCACAAACTGCTGAACTAGATTCTGCAAAGAAAGATGACAATATTTATAAGAAACTACACAGAGCTTTCATACAGTGATTTGGTTAATGGATTTCTCACATCTTTGCCATTAACACTCAACACCAAGTTTTTTTTTCCTGCTAACACCTATTAAGAGCAAATTTTTGTACTATTCATCCAGCTGCTCCATTTTTGCATTATTGCAAGGCAGCTGCCTTACAGGCTTCTAACAATGTCTTAAAAAACAAACCATTCTAGTGCACATGGAAGATGTTCAATTTGTACTGAAACAATACAAACCGAGGCATCTAACATTTTAGCCATACCTCAGTTGAGATGCGCCTATTATAATCAAGTGGTTAAATAATTTGACAACATTCATGCAAATTTAAAAGCAACAAATACACACACGTAACTTGAATTTTCACTGTTTAATATGGAGTGTATCATTTTTCCTGTTATTTATACAGATCTATAATCATAGAACCAAGAGTGAAATGATAAAGGTGAAAGATCTTAATGCAGGTTGGGATATTGCTGGTGTCAAAATGAGGAGGACCACACAGTTCATTTGGTATATTTCCTGGTGCCCAGCCTGCAAGGTGTGGTCATCTTCTCTTTAGGGAGTTAGCTAGCAGGATTCAGAGGTGTAAAAAAAGGATGATAAAATCCCTCTCCAGCAAGAAACCAGAATGGCTGGACAATCATCCAAAGTGCCATAGCCTACTTTAGATCTGAGATACTGTAAAGGTTTATGTTGTTAACAGTTCACCAATTCTAGGCTAATCATCCTGGAACCCACCCAGCCCCCAGTACAAACCTGAGGCCCAATCTCCATTTCCAAAGACAGCAATGGAACCCTCCATTTGGGAGGAATGCTCATATTGTCAAATAGTTTGGAACCAAAAATCATGAACTGCCATTTTGTTGTGGGATGCTGTCATATTAAGTAGTATCAAATTCTGTTTACTTGTAGTTAAAATTTATGTCCAAATTAATATTAAAAACATAATTTCAGAAGCTGTAACTTGATTTTTCAATCTGATCCACTTAAAGAATTCAAAACCCTCAATGCATAGCAATTTAAATAGTTAAAAGGACAAAATAAACATTGAAGTAGGGGTTCAAACTTACAGGAGTTTGGATATGGGGTAAGAGCTTGTGACTATGTTTCATGGCATCAATAGGAGACTGTTGTCAAGTTTAAATATTCAAAACTTAGTTTCAAAGTATTGGCTGAAATTTGAACCAAACAATAACAAGATAGTTTATTATAGCATGAGGTAACGTTTCCTTCAACAATTTCAGATATTGGAAAACATCACCTCTAAACCCCTCCTAAAGATTGATCTCATTCAGGTACAAGCCAGACTGTGTAAATAAACAAATAACACTTGCCCAGATGAGTTAAGCTCTAACAACATTCAAGAAGATCAACATCATCCAATACAAAGAAACCCACTAATTGGCAACCCATTAAACAAACATTCACATATCCATTGCAGTGCACTGTAGCTACAATGTACACCATTTCACCATGGCTCCTTCCACAGCACCAGCTACTGTTAAAAAGGATAAAGAAAGTAGGGGACTCAGGACCATCACCACCTGCAAGTTTCCCTTAAAATCTGACAATTCTATTTCCAAAGTATCCTTTCATTGTCCTGCATTAAATACCCAGAACAGCCTCCTGATAATACTGTGGGTACAGCTACACCACATAGACTACAGTAGTTCAAGAACACAGCTCATCATTACCTTCTCAAGGACAATTAATGCTGGCCTTACCTTACCATCCTCATGGATAAATTAAAAAAAAATCATTATTCAACTTTTATATTTTTGCTGATCAATGAAATGTGTTTTCAATACAATTACATTTCCATTACTATGAAAATAATGGAAGACTTTCTAAACAATGAAGGCAATTATGCACAAGAATGATATTTCCCCAAGTTTTATCTCCAGATCATAAGGAACTCCTTACTATCCATGCCAGAAAATGGCAAATCCATAATTCCTCTCTGTTGCTCCAAAACAATTTCAAAATCAAATCTCATCATCTGTAAACCAGCTATCAACTCTTGCATCTTTCACTGTTGCAGTTTAAATGCTTTCTTCCACCAATACTCTCCTCATCAAGCACAAGGGAACAAACATGTACCTTAGCAAATTTGATTTATAAACGTATCCGTGCCTGGGGCCTCCTGGGATTTTATAAAATATTTATTTTGTTTTAAATTCTTTTTGTAATAAATTACAGATTATAGGGTAAATACAGATTTGTCAGTTAAAGAGTTTAATTTAATGACTTTCAAGTTAAGGTTTACAGTGGTCACATGACAATTCAATATTGGGATTAGTGACTTAATTAGCTGTTCTGTGAAAGCTAAAGTCAATCTTATGTGAGTTTTACAATTACACCATAAGGAAAAGGCAAAATGATTAATATATTAGTTGAAGTGTTTTTAGATTTTGATTACAGTTACATTAGCTTCTGGCCATTCAGAACTGAGGCAGTTGGGTATTCCATTTCCTGCTTGGAAAGAGAAGAAGGAAAATCTTTTAACAGAAATCACCAGATACAGGTAAAAGCTTCTTAGGTCCCACAAAGAGGAAGTGATAGATGCGGGTACAGTTACAACATTTAAAAGACATTTGGACAAGTACATAAACAGTAAAGGTTTTGAGGGAATAGGGCCAAATGGAGGCAAAAGGGGCGAGTTTTAGTTGGGAAACTTGGTCAACATGGACAAGTTGGACATCAAAGGTCTGTTTCCATGCTGTATGACTCTATAACCCTATCTATTATTAATTTCATTGCACATTGCTTTTACTTTGATTGCAAGTAGTTTAAATGTATTTTCTCACTGTTATTTCCAGTGACTATGTTCATATTCTTATGTAGCCCTTGGCATCAATGTTGTTGATTACATCTCATTGTTAATGCATGTGAGTCTAAGTTGATGCTGAAACATCATTGCCCTAACTTACAAATATACGAATGATACATAATCAACAAAAGTAAATGCAGTCACCTTTAACTTTTAAGTTAGTTCATTTGTATGGATGACTTTATGTTAGAGTACAAGTGATGTGATAAGCCAATAGAGAGCTGTTGTGGCATAAAGTCATCATAGCCCCAGCAGGCTGCTTTCTCATGAGAGAGAGAGAGAGATGATGAAATAAACCTGAAGGTCACCATGCCTCAACACAAAGTGAGTTTGAGAATGTGGGACCTTTGTGGTCACCTTGGCTGGTATGGGAATTGACCCTACCATGTTGGGGATTATACTGAATAACAAACCAGCTATCCAGCTAACTGAGCTAACTAACTGGCTGTTGATGGAATAGCATGCTTCTGGTCATAGTATCCTTCATTTTACCACATGATGCTACTGAAACCAATACATATAGTTTTGTATATGTTCCATAGAGATTGAATAGATTTTCCCAAGTTCTTCATTTACAATATGAAGGAAATTTGAATATTTGCTGGATTCACCTATCCATAATGCAGCCCTTTCTCCTGGAGTCAATTTATTTTTCCTATGTTTGAAACTCACCTTCCTTTAAATTCTAAAATCCTGGATAATGTCCCCCTCAAATTTAATAAGAAATTCAATCATATGATGCTCACCTTCCAAGATAATCCCGTAGTGTCAAATTGTGAACTAATTCTGGTTTGTAACTCATCACTAAGTCTAGTATGCTCCCAGAAAACACATCTTTCTATGCAATTGACAAGAATACATCCTAGAAATGCATAGACCAGGAGAAACAGAACATCCAATATGAAAATTTAAAATTTTCCTTTATTCTCATATCAGCTATTGTTCAGTGGAGATATGGTTACCACCATCAAAATGTCATGTGTTCACTCCAGATTGCTGAGCACAAAGACTTAACTGACACTTCAGTGTGGTACCAAGGGAGAGCTGCACAGTCTAAGATGATCAGTTTCAGACAAGATGTTAAACCAAGGCTTGAGTACAATGTTGAAATTAGTGTTATGAAAGGTGAAATTCACATTGTAAGAATAGATATTCATAAACAACTTTCTTTGAAGCAGTGATGAGAGCTGTTACTTTGACGTGGACTACAAGACATGGAACAATTTTCTATTGTTACTTTTAAGGCTGTTTTATTCCATCTCACAGACAGTATGCCTTTAAGAGTCATACTAATGTTATCATCACTGTATCAAGCATGTGACCGAGGGTATAAATATCTCACATTCCATCTTATCCTGGGCTCACTTGAAATTCTACAGGAAACATGCTGCTCTGTTGTAATCAGAAAGCTCAGTTTTTAGATGTGACATTTATGTCTATGGGATGTAATATTTAAAGTAATTATTTGTTGAAACATGTGTCTATTGGATTTTTCCGTAACATGGTATCCATTCTGGTTTCTAGTGTTACGGAAGATAGCGTAAGCGTTGCCACATCAGATAAAACAGTCCACTGGAGACAAACTCGCACCAGTACTATTACCAAACCTCTTGTCAAGCATTCCATATTTACATGCCATTAAGTGTCCAAGTTATTCCCCTGAACAGAAATAAGTTTTAGTTTTTTTTAGTTTGAATTTGCAGTGTGACTGTTAATGGTAATCTGAATTATTAATTATCCTCCTCAATAAAAGCTTGAATTTATTGGTTATTAGTTCTCATTATTTAATTGAGATGGTTACCTTTGGTGTGTATGTATGCTGGTCCCTTAAGGTAGCTGGACAGGTGGATAAAGTAGTTAAGAAGGCATGTAGGATACTTGCCTGTATTAGCCAAGGCACAGCAGTGAAGAGCAGAGAGGTGATATAGGAACTATATAAAACATTGGTAAGGCCACAGCTAGAGTATTGTATACAGTTCTGGAATCCACATTTTTGGAAGGATGTGACAGCACTAGAGAAGGTGCAGAGGAGATTCACCAGGATGTTGTCTCGGCTGACGAGTTTCATTTGTGAAGGGAGATTGGACAAACTGGGGTTGGTCTCCTTATAGCAGAGGAAATGTATAAAATTATAAGGGGCATTGATAGGGTAGATCAAGCAAAACCCATGATGGAGGGATCAATGACCGAAGGTATTGATTTAAGGTAAAGGGCAGAAGGTGGATGTGAGGAAAACATCTTTCACCCAGTGGGTATATGGAATCTAGAACTCTGTGCCTGTAAGGTTGGTAGAGGCAGAAAACCCTCTTAACAGTTAAGAAGTATTTAGATGTACACTTGTGATGCCAAGACATAAAAGGCAATGAGCTGAGTGCTCGAAAATGGGATTAGCATAGTTAGGTGGTTGCTTTTGACTGATGTGGATGCGATGGACTGAAAGGCCTCTTACTGCGCTTTGGACCTCTATGATACCCAACTAGCCAGTTTAATACTCAACACAAGTGACACATTAAAACCACTGTCCAACTATTGAGATTCATTAGATTATGACTGTTGCACATCTTTGACATGTTTTCAGATATGGGTCCTGCAGAGCTAACTGAGATAAATGATGTTTTCTGAACAAGCCTGCAGGATAGATGAATTGTTTTAGATTATTTCTGCCACTTTAGTTGCCACTAGGTGACAATAATGCTTGCTACATAAATTTTCAAATGATCAAAATCTGGAGCATAAGGCATTTTATAGTAAACCTAAGGGAAGGAAAAACATAGAGGAAATAATTAATCCTTGTGCCTGTCAATAACATCAACTATGAAGGTATAACGAAGAGGTTAATGTTTGTCCGATTAGAAGTCTCAGTGAACAAATACCCAAATCATTTTACCTGTTTCTCTGAGGTTACATAATATCCAGACATTTCATGATATAGAAAACAGATTGAGCTGGTGTCTGGAAAATTTTTCAGAATTTTTAGAAAAGCACTCAGACATAGAATCATTGAACTTGTTCTGAAATTCTAACTTACCTGATTTTGTAAATTCATCAGACCTACAAAAAACTCTAATGTGCAGTCACGTTAGAGTTAATCCTTCAGGCCCAGTGACCCAAAACGTTGGAAGAAGGGTCACTGGACCCGAAATGTTAACTCTGCTTTCTGTCCACAGATGCTGCCAGACCTGCTGAGTTTTGTCAGTGTGGGGGTGATTTGATCATGTCCATACAAAGTGACCCCTACCTGCTTACACCAAAGCGGCCCATGTTTGAAAGACACAAAATGGCCGACAAGGGTTAAAACAAAATGGGACAGCTGCTCTAACATTTAAGTGAAACACAGTGGTACCTTTTGAACAAGACTACTCCAAGGTCAGCAAAAGAGCCTTACAAGCAACCATCTGAGTCATTTCTTTTGATAAGAGAATGCCAATGAACAGGCATTCCAGCCTCATCATTGAAAGGATGATTGTAATTCAGTAAATGAATAATGCTAGGTGCACGTCTCAGCCCATGAACCAGCCAGATTAACTCCCTAAGCAGCTGCAAAGACAACAGCTAAAGTTACTTTGTTGTAACTAGTTGCTTCTTTGAAACTACCTGCAATATTAAATAGATTCTCGTTAAAAATTCCTTAATCATAGAAGTAGTTTTAACATATAACCAAAGTATATTACAAGCATTAAGGGAAAAGTACTTTAACCTAGATGGGAAAGTTAATTAGCCTTAGAAAACAATTTTTGTTACGCCCTGAGCAAGATAGATTATCCACAATCCGTTAATTACAGAACAGTAGAAGTAGCTGTACAATTTTACATTTTATAGCTAATTTTAATAGAAATTAACCTTATAGCAATTAGTTAAAACTAACTGTCTTTTGTATTTTTACGTAAATAATTAGGACAGTGGGAAATAAAGGAAGAATGGTTAAATTTGATAAAAGAAAAGCACATGTAATACAATGAATAATAGAATTCAAGCTGTTCTTAGAGATAAACAGCCTGAGACAGATCCGAAGGAGTTTAGCCAGTCGCTTTGGAATGCAAATTAATAGGATGCATAGAAAGATCCCAAGGTCTAGAGATTACACTGTCTGGTAAATGCCATAAGATCATGGGAACCAAGGCTGCACATAGAATGCCCATCATTGATTAGGTGTCTCACAGGATTGGGTGTAGGGATTAAGGGTAAGGACAGTAACAAAGCTGTATTTGATTATTGTAACAGAAAATGTATAAAATACTGCATTTCACTG